CTTATACATGTTGGGATACGTTAGATCGCCTATTATCCGGCCGGACCACATCATATCCCACACATTTTGCTTAAGGAGAGGTCACTTAGTTCCCATGCAGTTTGACTCGTGGAACCTGTCGTTGTGGATTTTATAGGCAACAGCAAAATCGACCAACATAAACTCCGGCAAAAATGATTTGTAGGGCCCACTAGACACCTATTTCCCCCGCCCAATTACTTAAAGTATTTTGTGGTTAAACATTTAATTCTTGGCTAGTGAACGTAAATTAGTATGAAACTGTGGCGCAATTGATCAAAAAAATAATAGATTAAATAAGATTATATTTGTTTTAATATGCTTAATAGAATTAACGGCAATCAATATAAACCTCTATTGCGTAGAATACGAAAGCTAATCGAGGGAAATTTGACCTTAAGTAGGCGGAATTTAGCGAAAATGGAAATTCTTCTTCCTATTGGTGGAATTTAACGAAAACATTTAAAGTCAGGCTACCGAACACTAGAAAGTAGTTTTTTTTAAATTAAAAGTCGACGGGATTTATCGTCCTCTATAACCATTCTTCCCAAAATATGTATCGATCCTGTAAAGAATGCCTACTGACTAATAAGAATAGCAGACAACTCCCATTGGTTGGTTGGTTGACGGAAATTCAGCCTCACAATTCAACAATTTATTTTCAGGCAGCCGCTTGAGAGAACCTTATTTCAATATTACAACCCTACTCCAGTAATTTATTCGAATCGAAAACACATTTCAGAGTTGTGGTTGATAATGCATGAGATAAGCAATAGACTGTAGATCATGGAAAAAACAGTAGTGCAGTAGCTACAGCAACGGCAGCGTCTGGGGAGAATAGTTGCGCAGGGTATAGGATCTGGATCAAGTAGATTTCGTCGTCACAAATGCGTATTAAACAAGAACGTTTTATTCCCGCAATATTGGTACCAAGTTCGCAATTCGAACCCGAGCCTGCCTTAACGCCATCTTTTTTGGGTATTACCCAGTTCTGTGCGTACACACGAAAACACAGTAAGGAGTTCACCACCATCACCTCAGAACCGCTTCGAGCAATATTTCACACGCACCTTCGAACCGCCATCGACCAACCAATCGAGGATGGGAGGCGAGAAGGGCATGCAACTCGGCTCACGGTTCATCACAGGCGAGGTGAGCACACGGGAAAAGACAGTCTACGACGGCCGGAATCCCTGCCCTAGAACATACCACAGAATGGATAAGTGGATACTTAGAAAACACAATAGTACAGAGATATAGACGGTCCCTATGCCTTATCTCAGACACTGCGAGATGTTCCTCTGTTGTGAATAGCGCAGGCCAATTACTGTAAATTCACGGTAGCCCTGGTTAACCACGACATCCTTAAGGACAATCCGGCGCACAAATAGGCAAGAGAAGTCCCATAAACGTTTTCCCAAATTCAATAAACACTGTCGGGACATTCCGCGCCCGAATCCTCCCAGCTGAGCACCACCACGTCAACCTCTATCGCTTGGACAGATCTCGTCACCACTGCTGACGACCCCATGGCCTCGAGAGCTAAGCGACTTTAGCCCTCAGAGTTGAACTTAGCCCAGAGCAGGATAAGCTGCCTACGTTCCAGCACACGGCAGAATGAATGAAACCTAGGTCTAGAAGGGTTATTCCGCCAAACAACCGCTTGCGTTACTTGAAGTCACCAAGGATGCACTCACTCGTAACACTCTTCTCCTAACTAACGACATACAGGGTGTGGCCATCGCAAGTGACAGCGATGTCCACCGCGAACC